CATGAAACAAGAAGAGTAAAATCTATTGGCCAAGAAATGTTGGAAGATCTGTCATGCTGATTCAGTGATTGAAATGTGACACCGCATCCAATGGTTGGCGAACTCCTTCCTCATGACTGGGGAAGTGACCAACCTTCGTGTGACCCATTCAGTCTACTGCTGGTGGTAGAGCCCGATCTATGACCAAGGAAAGTGACTTGGTTATACATTATAAAAGTCTAGAGTTAGCTCTAGGAATACTGTCCTACGGAATTTATTCCCAGGAAATATTTTGAGGCAAGGAAACCAAACTTTTGTTAGAATTATGTTTACGTGAGCATCACAAATATGAAAAATTAAGAATATGAGAAATGAGGTATAAACAGGAAAACATGTTATTGACTTTTGCAACCTCAGTAATAACAGCATATTATTTGGAAATGACAGTAACAGAAATGTTTGACATGCTCTGAAGGAAATAGTGTACTAAGTGATTGTTGAACTGTTTTTGCCACTTCACCCGTGCTGGTATGTAGCTGAGAACTGCATGTCACATGAAACTAAAAATTAAAAAGTTTTGTTTTAATATCTTTCATACAATATATTGCTGAATAATGCATTAATTCTCTAGTTTTCTAAGGAATAGCCAAACTGTTCCCTACAGCAGCTGCACAGTACATGATAACTTTAAAAGTGTCTTTCATTTCACCATGTGAATATTTGTATGTATGTGCATAGATATAGATAGTTCAGCATAGGGGATAACGCGTAACATACTTTTAACATTGTAAATTATATGCTATTGGGTAAATTTCACATTCAAAAATATAAGGAATATTATTTTTCCTGATTTAGAATTAAAATTCTTTGCTCCTAAAATTTTCTTAACTAAAGAATATAACTATTTCATTCCTTGCACATAAAAGGGATTATCTAGAACTGTATGGCTGGTTCTCAGCAGGCTGTTTTAAGGCTTTTGGATAAGACAACGCAAGTTGGCCTGCCTGACTAGGGAAAAGAGATCCTCCTCTTTCACCAGGCTCCGTATGAAATGTAAACAATTTTCCTCACAAGCTATGAGCACATCTGAGGAACAAAGACATCTTGTGTTTTCAGTGATTGGTCTTCCAAGGAGCTTCTGAAGTACAAAAGAAAGTATGCACCTAAATTATTAATATCACCAGAAAATGTCACTTTTAATTGGACAGGAATTATGCAAGCAGGTGTGACAAAGAGGAAGGGTTATCATGAGCTAATAATTTGACAGAAATGCAGCCTCATGCTTCTAGTCCCTCCAGAGTTTTATCTCATGATTACCAAACACCCTGCTTAGATATGCCTTATTAGTTTCTCTTTTGGATATCTTCATCCTCAGGGAAACCACACTTCTGTGTGCTAGAATATGATGATGCTAGCGGTTTAAAATATGAGCAGCTGCTTCAGCTGAACTAGTGGTTCCCCAAAGTTAATCTACCTTTTACATTAATCTGTGGGCCAATCAAAATGTTCCCTTAATCCAAGCAGTTTTATAATGCAGTCTAAATCACTCTGGCCCAGGTGCCTTGTGCTGCTTAGAGGAAAAGTAACGAGAAAATTTAATCTGAAGATTATTATTAAGTATTTTGGGTTGGTGCTAACTGGGATCGCCTAGCAACTATACAGCATACTGAGCAAATCTAACAAATAGCAGCTCATCCATCCTGTCAGTACAGAGCAAACAATTAGGAGAGAGAAAAGATGCTTGCTGGTGGGAATAAGAAGATAACAATAAGACATGTGAATTCGAAGAAGACGAATATGGCTTGAGATAACAGCTTGTAGCAACTGCAGTTATTAGAAGGCTGATGTCAGGAGTTCGAATGAGGACATGAGCGTTAGAGTCTATGGCACAGATGTTCACTTACAGAAAATGAAGCATGACTATATAGGCCAGAAACAATTGAACTCCGTTGAACAATCTACTGTCAAGACATTGCTATTAGATTTGCATCAGAATAGCAAAGAGTTTAAATCTCACCAGGGAACTGCTAAAATATGAGCATATCGTCTCATACCTTATTTTCATAGCATGTCAGATGTCAGTTGTGCAAGTTTATATTTCTGATGCTGACATGAATGTAAGTTCGTGTATATTAAGTGGAGGAAAATGATGGGGTCTGGGCAAACAAAAACCAAAACAAATTTCATTGGTTATTCAGACCTCATCCTCCAATATTATTCTAAAGTATAAGCTTTCACGGAAAGAAAGAGTTTATCTTTCAAGTTTGAGTCTCTTCATCATGAAAGTGTCACTGGTAACAAATTCATTCTCTCAAATGCAAATTCTTTAACATTGGAAGTGTGAGGAAAGAAGGAGAGGTAGTGGAAACAGGCAATGCAGTATTGGGGTCGTTGGGAGGAGGCAAACACAGAACGTGAGTCCTGAAATCAACTGCACCATAGCCTAAAATTTCTACAGTGGAGGATTTTTCTAACAAGTACCAGCACAGGCCCCGAGGAGCCGAGAGAACAGAGATCAGAATTCTGATCTACTAACATAGCCAGAATCTGTCTATTTTCCCCCTTAGACAAAACTAAATGAAAAGCTGGCAGATACAGTATCCTGTGTTGGCCTTCTGCCTGGGTTATTTGCTAACAGACAAAAGCCCCATGCTCAGGAGATGTCATGGGGCTGGCAAAGATCAACCTGTTGAAGAAAGTGTGTAACAGCATGAGGCAATGAGCTCCTTATCATATAGCCATGGTGGAGAAATCTGGTTGGCAACCTCAGACATTCAGCTGAGACCTTAACAGAACAAGACAAGGAGAAAAGGAATAGAACCTAGACTCAGGGTACACTCTTGTACTAACTTCAAAAAATAGTAACTGAAAATCTAACAGCCTAGCCACACTAGAAGGGATCACTTTTTAATTAACTGCCTTCCAGAGGAGAGTTCAATACCTTTTACAAGAAGAGTATGTTCACACAATATACAGATGGAGTGGGAAATTACTAAATATGCTTGTAGTTTCACCTATAATTAATAGGAAAGAGATTGAAGAAAAACTGATATTATGATCTTTTATGATTAATAGTAAATGATTTTAAAGCAGATATGAATATGATCAAGGACATGAAGAAAGGTAAATAGGAAAGGGGTGAATAGACAATTTCAAGTAAATTCTTTCTTTTGATGGAAAAGGGGGAATTAATTTTCAGCACTTTAGCATAACATGGATTGCATGTAAAGTGTAATCTTGGTCTACTTGCTTTTTTCTTCCTTCACTTAGCTATTCAACAATTTCACAGTGATTTGTATCCCTGTCTTTACTCCCTAATTGTTGTTATTCAGATTCTTTAACATCTTGGCTGATTTTATAATTTTAAGTATTTTTCTGTCATTAAATATTTTGGTGCTTTTATTTTCCTACCTGAGAGAAATCCTCAATTTCACTTACCAATATTCTATTTTAAAACATATGAACATGTCTAATTGCAATGTACCTTTTTCCTTCTCTGAATGTTTCTTTTTAGAGATAAGCCTTCTTGATTTATGGATATAAATGAAATTAACTCTGGGTTTAAACTTTCCATTTTTACAGATCATCAATTATCTTCAAAATTTTCTTTGAGATTTATTATCTGGTTAAATAAAATTCATTTAGTATCATCCCTGTATAGTAAAGTTGGATCATAACCTGATGAAACAAATAGCAGAAATGGAGGACTATAGGTTTTTACCATTCAATACTTTCAGAAAATGGTTACTTTCAAGTATTTCCAGTGTTCTCTAATCCATATTCCTAATGGTATGCCATTCCAAGATTCTAATTCATAATTTTTAGCCATGGTAGGGAGAAAGCTATTGCTTTGTTTTATTGGATAGTATCTTAGTCAGTTGAGCTACTGCACTAAAATTTCATGGAGTAATTGGGTTATAAACAATAGAAATAATTTTTATAGGTATAGGACCTGAAATTCTGAGAATAAGTTGGCCTCACTTATGATTTGTGGGCTTTTCTTTTATACCTTCACATGGGAAAAAGGACAAAGAGGTCTCTAAAATCTCTGTATAAGGGCACTAATCCCATCTGTGTGGCTCCATTCTCACTGTTTGATCACCTTCTAACGGTGATTGAAGGTACAAATACCATCAAAATGGAGGGTAGAATTTCAACATATGAATTTTAGAAAGAAAAACTTTCAGCCCATAATAGATGGCATACTGCAAATTGAAATCTAAATCCTTTTTTGAATAAATTGTCCAGCAGTCCTCTTAAATGCCTCAATTACACACAGAATTTTAGAGTTCTTTCTCATTGCATATTCCTGAACTTGGAATTCTCAAGTCTAATCTCTTTGTGAGCTTCTTCCACTGTAATCTGAGGTTAAGTTGCATAGGCCTGTGGGAATTCTATTGGAAGATGGCAAATTACAGCTTACCTGCTACCACCTATTAGTTAAATAAAGTTACTAGAGTACAGATGTGCTCCTTCATTGTTCTGTTCTCTATGGCTCTGTTCACACTACAGTGATAGAGTTGAGTGGTTATTAAAAGATTATATGGACCACAAACAAAATATATTCGTCATAAGTCTTTACAGAGTGCATTAATCAAACTCCGATCTAGAGTACCACTATGTATCTATTTTTCAAACTCCATAATTTTCGGGGGTTCCTCTTTGCTGATGTTTTGGTGTTGATGGATTTATTCTTACTAACTATTCTTTTCATTTGATCAGGCATCAGATTGGAACAAAGTTTAGCACGAGGATTCCTTCCACCAAGAGTAACCAAAGGCTCCTGAAATTTCCACTTACTCTTTTTCATTACTTTGTTATTAGGAAGTTTTGTTTTATTGGCTGAGTAGCATATGTTTCACATACGATGTCCAATAATCTATCATTTTTGCTTCCATCCCTTAATATTATTTATCTATCAGTCTCCTAGGCATTCTCCTTTCTGCATTCTTCTCTATCTTTTATGATTTATCTAATAAAGCAACATGAAACTTTATTACAAAATGTTGATTGTAACTTACTTTGATACACTTTCTTCTCCTAAGTGTTTATGGAGCTCCAGTTGTGCAGATGTCATCATGTTGAATGCTTTCACCCCTAAGAAAAGCAATGATAATAATGACAACTATTTGTAAAAGACATATACACTTCCCTAAAATGTAATGTAGTAAAGAATATGGAAATTTTAAAAGTTCATATCAATATAACATGTGTTATTTAAAGATAAGTTCAACATATGGAGGAAATTTGCCTGTGGAGGGAATTTGCTGATGATAATCATTAAAAGCTTCACATTAAAGAATGAATAGAATGTTCATACTCCAGCAAATATGGATGCTAAGAGACTAATATATAACCTAATTCTATGTGATAAATAGAAAGGTAAAACTACACAAAATCAGGTAAGCTGCAAAGTACTAGAACATAAATTTCCATTACTATCCATCTGTGAAACTGCTGACAAGTTATTTAGCCTGGTTAAACCTTTTCTTACTTCATGTATAAGATAAAGCTTAATGATTTCAATAATTTCCTCACAGTTTCAAAGTTTTATAGTGCACTTTACAGATTTAACAGAATTCTTGGCATAATAAGTGGTCAGTAAAATGTTGATGTTTATATTATGAATTATCCAGAGGAGGTAATGTTTTAGCCCAAACAGTAAATATTTAACACTATTTCAAGTATGATGTTGCTCATGGTAAGAGATGTTTTGGAGTAAATGAAACTTTTATTCGTCTTGCAAATCAAAGAATATGGACAACAAATTTTCTTCTTATTGTCAATATTAATGACTCAAACTAATAATAAATAATTCACTATTGGATCTTGTTGGGGTTGAAACAGGATCACCTGAATTTATGTTCATACAAATTATTTTCTCATTTTTTCCTAAAAATCAATAGTCCATCTACTTACAATTTAATATATATGTTTCTCAGAGATATATCTTGTCTAGCAACTTGGGTAGCATTTCTTGAGGGAAATAGACCAATATATTTTTCCTAGCTGCTTCTATAACTTACGTTTCTTTTCATTTTGTTTGGATATTTTTGAGAGGAAAAACTGAGCAATGTCATGTAGAATTGATTGTTAAAAAAATAACATTGCAACGTTCATTGATCTACAAGTATATCAAGAGGAAAAGTAATAATATATGGCATAATTTGATTTTGTGTGTGTGTTCTCACCCTTTCTCATGATGGGATATATGGTATACTTCTAGAATTTAAATTAGTTTAATATTTAGAACTATGACATAGCAAGTTAAAAACAATAAATGAATGATTTTATTTTGGTCTTTTTAATAAGCTATGGAAAGCATGTAGAATTATTTTACACAAGATGCACAGAAATAATCAAAAGAATCAAATGACTGCAGTATTTTTAAACTTGAACATTAAGCATCAATTTCTTACCTAGACTCAAAATACACTTTCTAGCACAGCATTCCCTAAAACACGTACAAAAAAAATTTAAGGATCTCTCTGCAAGGTATTAAAATTGCACATTTTCATAATTTTCTTTGCAGAATTCTCACAGAAAATGCTGTCCTAAGCCTCTGTTAATCTTTTGGAACATAGCACAGCATTTTATTCGTATTTAAGATGAAATCATTTTTCATTTTATGTAAGAGACTTTTTAAGCCAATGGAATGGTTCCAAACGGAACAGATATTTAAAGAGACTTAGTGTCATTCACTGAAATGTAAACCTTCAAAATAAAATGTTCTGTTGGCGTCCATAAATGTCGTGTTGGGAGCAGCCTCCGGGGCAAAGAATACAGAAACTCCAGCAGCATCAGCCCTTGGGCATAGCAAAGTCAGGAGTGCACCGGATGGGGCTGGGGAGGCTGACTTAGTTTCATAGAACAGAAACTTAGATCAGGAAGCTCAGGAGCTTGGCAAGGTCACACTTGGAGAATACTCAAGGGAAAGTCCATGTCCTCTCAGCACTTTCAACACAGCTTCACAGAAGTCAGCTTGGTTTGCTCCAGTGTAAAAGGCATAGACTTATTTGTTCCAATATATTGCTTTATTGAGGATGGCTACTATCTCAGAAGTCCTGCTTCTGCTTAGTGTTACAAAACTGTATTGTGCCAAATCAGAGTAGTTTCGCTTAGTCCAACAATTTTTTCACTTAAATCTGTGGTTTGTATTTATTTTATTTATTTTTTTGTGGTTTGTATTTATTTTTGCTTCAAATTAAATTTCTATGAACAAGTTTCTTCTACTGTACTACTTCTTGGATGACTCTATAGCAACAAAAGCATCCCCTGCTTCTACCAAGGCAGCAGGACAGTGTTGTGTGTGTGCATTTGTGTGTATGTGTGCATGCACGCACGGACGTTTGTGAGTGTGCTGACAGTGTTCTTGCTTTCACCTGCTTAGCAATACTACAGTTAGACTGAAGAGCAACTGATTCTAAATAATCAGTTTAGGTGGTTCTTCCTGAGGATCTTTGATATTTGTCCCCACCTATTTTCTTGCTTCAAGACACACTGGCTAATTGTAGCTACCAGTCCCTCAGTTCAAAAATGGATGGCATCTATCCTGAATGCTTTCATTCTAGTAGTCAATCTTCTCAGGCAAATATGGACTGCTCTGGGTCACCTTTCTTATCTTTAGAATGACATGAAACAACACCCCTTCTTTCTTAAGTACCAGCTTAGATTTGGCTACAGAAGAAACCAAGGCAAAGATTGGACAAAGTCAATCAACAACCACTTTTTCTCAAGCTATTTTCCCAGCCAGATGGGAAAGACAGGTGCAGAGACGGACACCGGGTTTCTGAGTGACCTCTGTCTCCTCTGCTCTGTAGGAAGTTTTTCTTCCTAATTGATAGCTCTGTTGCCAAACAGCATCTTCAACCCTACCCAGCAAGCTAACCGTGGGCACAGAGAGTTTGTTGGTGTAATAATATTGGCTCCCACTGACCTCTGCACATGATCTTCTTTCACAGCCCTACTCCTGGCTTTGGAAATGCTCGATTTCTCCAACTGACAAACCAGCTCATGCTCTATTCCTTCCTCTTCTTCCTCCTCACAAATGTTGAACTTCACTTTACCATCTCTTCATAAAATGTTGCTACTTCCTGTAATAATTCTACATTCTATGACACTGACAATTACTGTGTTCCATGATCAAATTCTGGCTGAGAGAAGAGGCTATACTTGTTCACATTCTTCTTAGAATCCTGTGACTATACTCAGGTTCAATGGAAACATGTCAATCTCTCTGTATCAGTGTGTGCTTCGTAAGCCCCTTGGCTGGAAACAGCCAGCCCCCTGGAATTCTCGATGGGACAGATGGCTCTTTGAGGAAAAGAAGCATCCTGCTATAAATGAGCCAAAACCATTTCTGTATAATAAACTGGGATGAGAATATAGGGGAAGCTTGAATCTCTGAGATTCTGTGAAAATCCAGGATTCATCCAAGATCAGCTGGGGGTCAGGTATGTGGAAAACACATCCAAAGAGTATCACTGGATGGAGTTGCAGCTCCTGATAGTTTCTCCTTTCCAGAAAACACAAATAAAGTGAACTTGTAGATATTGGGTGATTCTTCAATATATAAAACCAAGCAGCTCACACATGCAGCAGGAGCAGTCCCTGTCCAGACCTTTTGCTTTGCTTATTACCAGTCTACATCAATGAATACTGAAGGCTGGAAAGTATTACTCTTTGTCTTTCAGTTTCAAACCTTCCCTATCCAAACCTATTTGCATTTTACTTTCCTAATCCATTCCAATTACTTAGGTATCTAATTTTGCCTTACTCTAAAACTTTAAAGTGTTCACATCTTTCTTTTTATTTTCTTCATAATATTTCACATGTTTTGAAATTGTAATCATTTGAGTTACTCCTTCTGTGCTTCAGAAACAGCTCAGACCTACCTGGTATTCCCCCTCTATCTGGGTCCTAAGCTGTGGGCTGAAGTAAACATTGTTCCCTAATCCCGTCTGTAAAAATCACAGCTTGTATAGACTGTTTCCATTCATTTTACTTACTATATTTTATTTTATTTTATTTATTTTTTATTTTAAAGTAAAAAAAGAACATTAGCAAAATACAAACAAAACAAAGCAAGGACATTAAAAATGATATGGGGTTTCAAACCAAATGATAGGGATTAACAGTGGTTGTTATATTACATATTGTTATCTTCAATGAAGTTGCTCGGATTACCAGATGCAAGACTGGAAGATCGATCACACCATTAAAGAGAATAAGAAAGTAATAATTTTAAAAAAACATTAGAGACAATACAGAGTTTCACTAGACAGTATGGTAGGAATTCACCAACAGCTGTCATATTGCATATTGTTTTCTTCACATCAGTTGCTCAGATTTCCATATACAAGCATGCAAAACTGGTCAAAATAAAAAAAAAAAAAATCAAGCAGTAACTGTTTCCTTCAACAAACCACCAGACATCAGCAGTGCAGTTATCCCTAGATACAGGTTTCCATTCTTTGGCCAAGAAAATGTGTTTAGTGTGACCAGTCTGGGGAAGGTTTGGGTGCAGCTTGGCATTGTCTAAAGGTGATTATCATACTGTTTGTCTATACTACATATTTCTTGTCTTCATTTCCTAGACCATGATAAACTTAACATAATCCTCAAAAAAGTGACTACTGAGTCCACATGTTTATTCCACTCCAAATATGACCATGCCGCCTGTAGTTTTCCAGCATAAGTAAAAAGACTTATTGCACCCTGAACAAGCCCATTTTCTCAACAGCCTATGATGTGAATTTGATTCCCGACAGAAATGCAGGTAGAAGAATATTATAAATGATTGCTGTCAGAAATCATCAGGTACTTTATCTACTATAGCATAATCTCACACCATGTGAGATAGGTTAAATACACATATGAAAAAATTTACTGCCATGAAGTCAACTAACAAGATAATTGCTATAGAACTGCCATGACTGGAACCCTAAGCTCCATGGCTCTGGGCCCAGTTTCCTAACTCCATGCTCTGCTGCTCTCCCTGGTGTATTTATTTTTGTCATCTCTCACTTAGATAAATCATGATTGTTCTGCCAAAGCAAAATACTCAATAATGGATTATAAGGATCCCCACACCTACTCATGTTTTGGACACCTCATCCCCACGCTGACCCTCTGGGTGACAAGGAGGAGGACCAGTGTTGTAGCACACCTAGTTTTTGTCTCATTCCAGAAAGGATGTAGCAAGTATCAAACTGTATAACTTTGGTCACAAGCAATTGATTTTTAAAAATCTTTCATTTTGTGTTTCTATTGAATTTCTCACTTACGATAAAGGGAAATGGACACTCTATGATGTGAGAAAATCTCTACCTACTAGACCATGAGAAAAGACATGGGAAATATCACTTTTAATTCTTTCCCATCCCAGGATATCTGTCTTCATCAAGAGCATCTCATGCCTTTCCTGTGTTTAAAACTTCATTGACATTATCAGACAAACTGTTTACCTTAATTTTAAATGTAAAAGGGAATTACTTACCCCACACAATCAGATACATAAATACTGGAAGGATCAGTGCAGCTTTGCAGGAATATGTGAGCTGTACTGGCTTGGTGATATTTATTTGTTGTATATTATTGATTTCTAGAAAATGTACAATGTCTAAAATGGAAAGAAATAAGTGAGCAAATCCTTTAAAAAGGAAATAAGCCCAGTGATGAGAAGTTATTTGCTGATGAAAGTTTCTCTTTCATCCTTGGTTTTTCTGAGAGATACAAACTGCTCAGGAAAATAATGCAATTTGTTTTTCAGATTTATTTATCTATGTACTAAGTGCTTTTTTTTTTTTTTTTTGGTTTTTCTCCGGTACCGGGAACCGAACTCACAACCTTGCGCTTGCCAGGCAGGCTCTTTGCCACTGAGCTAAATCCCCAGCCCCTGTACTAAGTGCTTTATATAGATTATCATATTTGTTGTAACACTCTCATGTGGCAGGTATTATTCCATCACTATTTTCACACGTGAGGACAGTATGGTTCACATAGTTTTAATAAATATCCAATCTCATACTATAGTAAGATAGAGCAGCACTTAAAATTACAGTTAATTTAGACAATTATGTTTAATCCCAGACACCACAATTTTTAAGTATTACTTCTGTACTCTAAATTACAAAGAAGTGTAAGCTACATACTGAGCATTGGGTGTCATTGATTCTGAATTTATTTGAACTTTATTTCCCATTTAATATTAATTTATATCATTTCTGCTGGTTTTTCCCATCAAAGTGTGTGATAGAGTGACAGGGAATTTTGTGTTAATCTGATGGGACTAAATCATTCATACATTTGCTCAAACTTAACTCTGAGCTTTTACATAGAGTATTTGGATGTGATTACCTTCAAATTGGTAGACTGAATAAATACAGTTTCATTCATAAATGTGAATGTGACTCACATAAGAGTGAATTGAAAGGTTCTCCAGTAAGTGTCTCCTCCAGCTCTGCTATCTCTGAAGGGGGACATCAGCTTGTTCTAGCCTTCAGAGTCAGTCACTTCTCCCTATAGCCTAGATGGCCTTTGCACTAAGCCACATTGACTCTGTGGTTCTCAGGCTGCCATGATTTGAATATATTCTCCAAAATGTTGCTTGCTGTAGCTAACCCCCCAAAGTTATATGTCAGCACTACTTGGATGTAGGACTGTTGGGCCCAAATTATGACTTGATCAAAGTGTGACTGCTCCATGAAGGCATTAATGAGTTAATGAGTTTATTTCAGTCTCCTATTGCTATTACAAGAAAGTATCACAATAGCAGTGACCTAAACTTACACAAATTTATTATCTAACAGTTCTGGAGGTCTGCATTCCCAATGAGTCTCACTGGGCTAAATTCTAGAGGTCAGCTGACCATTCCTCCCTTTCAGCTCTAGGGAGAAAGAACTCTTGTCTTTTTCAGTTTCTAGGGCATTTGCCTTCCTTGGCCTAGGCTTCTTTTCATCCTCAAGGCAAGCAGAGAATGATCAACTCTTTTTTAAGTTACATCACAGTCATGCTGCATCTTCTAGCCTCTGTTTCCACTTTTTAGGCCCTTTGTGTTGATGTTGATCCCATCCCTTCTTTACCATCAGCTGATTAGCAACCTTAATTACCTTGATCATAAAAAGTAGCACATTTAAAGGTCCAGAGGAGTAAGCCCTGGACATTCTGTCTGTCATAGGCTCACAAAGACAAAACAGAACTGGCAAAAAACTAATCAAACAAAAAAAAATATGTGAATCCTTTCCAGATAAATTATCCTACAGCTTGATCCTGCCCAACTCTCAGTCTTCATTTCAGATGCTTTCTAGTTTTCTTACTGGGATCTGGTCATGCTAGCTTCTAATGGACTTCTATCAAACCAGTTGCCACCTGCATGAGGCTTTTGCACTCGCTGTTTCTTTGTGCAAAAAGTTCTTTCCCCAGATATTCACCTAGCTGGCTTCTTCTGATAATTTAATGCATTTTCTCAGGGGAGCCAATTAATCAAGACAGCTCCAAATATTGCACTTCTTTGAATTATTATGGTTTATTCCTTTCATAGAGTTTAGAAGTTGAAATTCCCTTATTCAATTGTTTTCTTGTTTAAAGTCTTCCTAACCCATTAGGAAAAAGGCACATGTGAATATGAATCTTATTTGTTGTTTTAACAACTTTTACTTCCCGAGTTTACTCATGTCTTGCTTATAAATTCTCTGTATACATCTGATGAGTAAGTGATTTTGTAATCTCATGAATGAATTTTAAGCAACTCACCACATTTATGATGAAAAGAATTTCTTTTCTTCCAGCAAGGAAACCAGTATATTTTCCTTTCCTATAAAGTTAAACATTGTTTAAAAAGGAAGAAAACTTCAGTTATTTTCTCCCTCAGGGGCTCCATGCATCATTCCTCTGAGGGCATTTTTTAGCTCACAGGAAAGTTGTCTTCATTCCACAGTTCCATAATCCATTTTTCCTCTGGTGTTCTAAGAAACAAAGCTACTTGCAAAGGCATGGACTAGAGAATTGCATTAATTTAGGAAACAAGATCTACCTTGAGATCCTGTAATCTAAGAGAGACAAGAAGGTCATTGTGTTCCCC